CTTGTTTTTGTGCAAAATGGATTGATTGGATATTGTTAATAAGCTATCGGTCAGTCTCATGGACATGTAAAAGGGATAGTTGACCTAAAAATGACAAGTCTTCAGTTATTCACCCCTGACAACCAATTTGAGAATTTAGTTTATGAACATATACAAGAATTTGTGAAATAGGTAAACATTGACATCCATATTTGTTTTCCTATTATGGATGTCAATGGTTACCGGTTTCCAGTGTTGAATAAGTTTCTTTAAAAAAGTAATAAATTACAAATTACTGATTACTGCTGGAAAGTGTAATCTGATTACATTACAAATTACTTCATGTAAAAAGTAATCAGATTACTAATTACTTTACTGAAAAGTTACTTTTAAAACATATAAAATATACCTATAAAAATACAAAATACTGCAGCTCTTTCAGTAATTTAATATTCACTGAAAAACATTACAATGGGTTGATCACAGCAGCTTGACATATTCAAAATACTTAAAGAGTCTGCCAAAACTTAAATTTCTCTCATCATTCACTTGTTCCAAACCTCTTTGTCTTTTTTAACACAAAAGAAGAAAACTGAATACCTGTAACCATTGACAGTCATAGTATGAAAAAAACACTGCAGTGTTTGGGTGTTTTGTGTTTGTCTGAGGTAATTAGTCTACCTAAATGTGTATATTCCAAAGTATGAAGCTAATCGGTCAGTTCTTGTCGCGGGACTAACGTTTTCAACTGGTGTGCCTGGGAAATGCACAAAAGATGCGATATATGAACGGCCCCATAATCAGCTACGCTTCTCTTCACACTCAGAAGCAACCTTCACTCCATATCCTGCAGAAAAATTAAATTTACCCAATTAGGCCGCTGAGTTGGGCCGCTGTGTTTCTGGGCGCCGTTGTCCTCCTTGGTGACGAGTTTTGTCGTAGAATGCTTTCTGTTCAAGTGCTTGAATAAGTTGCTGGTCGATTTAAAAGCAGTTGAAAGTTCTTTAGAGACTGGACATAAACTGCATTTCACAGCAAAATTTTTGTTTTTACGCTCAATGAAATCAAAGTAATGTCTGTATTTCACCTAAAGAAGCAACCACTTTCGACAGCAACCATTTCAGCTCGCATTCTCCAGCAGTTTAAAAGCGCATGCTTATTAACAGACGTTGCAGCAGAAAACGTCATTTAAAAGCTGTTTTTTCTTCCAAAAACTATTTGTAACTTAAGTAATGCAATTACATTGATTATAGTAACTGTTATCAATTTACACAAATTTAAAATATAATTCGTTAAATTACTGCATTCCTCAAAAATGTAATTAGAATACTGTAACGCGTTACTGTGGAACGTGTCACACTAAACTCTCCCGGTTTCCAACATTTTTCCAAAAATCTTCTTCAAAATATCTCCTTCACTCAAGCTGGTTTGGAACATGTGAAGAGTAAATGGTGACGCATTTTTCATTTTTGTGTGAACTATTCCTTTAATGCACTTAATTGTATCTTTAAAATGAATTCCTCAACCGATTGCAGTCTATTTCTGTAGATTCCTGTGAATATACATTACAATTTTCAATGTGTTAACTGCATAGATTGCAGTTGCCATTAACGTGTCACTGATAATGTTTTCTAAGCGACTGCCGTCTGCTCCGATCCATATGTGGGTCAGTGACATGTGAACTGCGAAATCTCGGAGGCCACATTCTGTCGAATTACCACCCTAAAGATCACATGTAATCATATGCTGCCATCCAAACCAGGGACAAACATTTTCCAATGCAATGTAGCGCAAAAAACACATTTGCTAAATTGTTTGAGGCTGACAATTTCCAGTATGCAGCTCATTTGCATATTTATATCTAAAAGCACAGTGCGTTGTTTATATTAATGCATGTTGTAGTTTTTTTTTTTTTTTTTTGCCTGGTCGTGCTGTTCCTATCAGTTTAGTGTCTTTTGAATGCATAAATAAGCAGGAGTATTGCACTGACTGGCTTTGTTATTGTCTTCATTACACACTGACAGTAAGCAAATGTGTGGAATGCACTTCAGGGCGCTTTTCATGCCTTCATTATGGCTGTGTAATATTCAGCCGAGCTTATGTCCATTTTTAAAGCTGGCATGGGGTGCCGTGTGTGCCTGTGTGTTTTGCTGCGGTCACTGGGCTTGTTATTTCCCCAGAGCTTCTTGCCTTTTATAACCACCTGAAGCTAACTCGCCACAATATATGAATCAAAATTGAATTACACATGTACACGGACTGTTTTTATTAAAAATCAGGACTTGTAACACTGTTGCAAATCAAGTTCGCATGGTTACTGTAGTCATTAAGCGTGATAATTACACAGCTCTCCTGAGGACCTGATTCTGATTGGGCAATTGTGTGGTATATTTTTGCATAATAACCATTAAATTACATTAATACATAGATGTGCAGGTTTCATATCTTTTAGCATGTATTGGTGCTTTCTTCTCATATATAAACATAATTGACCAAGAAAATAGTTCCTTTATTCTGTGTAATAAGCCCTCTTCCTTACCTCAAGGATTTTCTACAGATGCTAATATTACATTAGCCTTTACAAGTAAGGTTTACACACACACACACACACACACACACACACACACACACACACACACACACACACACACACACACACACACACATATATATATATATATATATATATATTTTTTATATATATATATATATATATATATATATATATATATATTTTTTTTTTTATTTATATTTTATATTTGTATATTTATTATTATTATTTATTTATTTTTTAATTTATTTTATTTTATTTTTTTTAAGGGTTGAGCTACTTTAGATTTTTGAAAGCTGACTTTTATGTTATCAAAGTCAAGTCAATGCCAAATAGTCCCTGGTGACGTCATCAACAAAACACAAGATGTAAATGTTTTGCAACATCCCACAATTTGCGATTTATTTGCTGGAAATATATACACTTGCTGTTTGAGAGCACATATCATGTTTTTTAAAACAATGCAACATTGTCAATGACTAATTTTAGTGCAAAACAAATGTATTTGTTAACACTTTCATTTTGTTAATAATGCAAATTTAGTGCTGGCTAATTTTACTGCTAAACAAATGCAGTGAACATGGTCAGCATCTACAATTCGCAGAGGACAAAACCCAATCACATTACCTTTCCCCTTTTGAGTAAATGTGATTGGCTATCATCTGCTCCAGGGTATTTGAATGGAACTACCATCTGTTTTACGATTTAAAGTTCACTCAAAGTTCATGTGAATCTTTGACAATGACATAAGAAAACATTTGAAAAATTACTTTAAATAATCCGAGGGCAGTTTCATTCTGTGAACCTACCTTTGTGTGTAAAGGCTGTCATGTAGTTCAGGTCAAAACACATGATCTGTGCAGCATGAATAGTCGACGTCAATCAAAAAATATACCCCTAATATATACAGTTGAATTCAGAATTATTAGCCCCTGAATTATTAGCCTCCTTAATATCTGTTTAACGGAGAGAAGATTGTTCAACACATTTCTAAACATAGTTTTAATATCTCACTTTTACCAACTGAGTTATTTTATGTTTGCCATGATGACAGTAAATAATATTTCACTAGATATTTTTCAAGACATTCTAAAAAGATTAAAGTGACATTAGAGGCTTAACTAGGTTATATATATATATATATATATTGCTTAACGGGCTAGTAATATTGACATTAAAACGGTTTGAAACAAAACAAACAAAAAAATGCTTTTATTTCAGCCAAAATAAAAACAAATATGACTTTCTTCACATGAAAAAAAAATATTATTGGAACTATTGTGAAAAATCCCTTGCTCTGTTAAACATCATTTGGGAAATACTTGAAAATGGAAAAAAAGATTCTACACTATTCTATTTTTGTTAATATTTATTTATTTATTTCTGATTTCAGAAATGTTTGCCATTTTAATAAACTTTTAAAGTTTAGCTTAATTTTAGTTAATATAAAAAAATCTACATTTATTTAACAATGAAAACATTGGCAACATATCATAATGAGTCATAGAAAGTAAATTACTACTACTAATTCTAGTAATAATAATAGTAATAATCACAATATCCCATAAAACTAAACCAAAATCTTGTTATCGGTAATCAGTTTTTTTTAAAAATATTATTTAATTACTAATGCCTACATTTCAAAACATCAGAATGCTTTTTTATCTATCCACACTTTCCCTACTGATAACATTGCCATCGTTTGATTTTCTTGTTTAAAATGTCACATGTTGATTCAATTGTTAACCTGCCATTTTTTCAACCTGTTTTTTCCACTAATGCACTGACAAAACAAAACAAATTACTTTAGGAATTATTAGCAAACAACATTTAGATTACTAGCCTATTTATATCCAACAAAGCATATCTGATGATCTCCAGTTTCCAGTAAGTCATGGAAAGCAAAACTAATCCTACAACTATTGATTGTTCTAAACTCGGCTCCGTTTGTCATCAGTTCCAAATGATAACAAACGATAACCCCTCTACTTCACAATCCACAATCTTTATTGCCATTTTGGGGCAACTTAGATCTGCTTCTAATGACCTGCTGACTGCACATTTTCCCTAACATATCAAAAGCAGATGCAGATGAAAGTAAAAAAAAAACTCAGTTCTCTATTACAGCTGACTATAAACTCCTTCCCAGTCGACTCCCAGAAATGTTGTTTATATAAATAGATAAGTTGATACAGCTCAACACAGCACGCCCGCATAAACACGATTCGGTTTTTCTCCAGAATAGCTCTCAGCAGAGGCTGTTTGGCATTCCTTCGAACGCTTTATGATCCAGTACGAGGCATTAGGGCCTGAGATCTGAGCAGTGTTTCCTATGAGGATCCTTTGGCTGTACTGTGCAATCTGCCGCTCACCGCTGACAGCAGTCCATACACACATACACACACACCAGCATCATTACCCATTCCCACTGAAGCCAGGCTCTGCTGTGTTTGTGTTTGTGTGTTTACAGTAAACGGTGGGATAAAAGACGGGCTGAAGTGAGTTGGTCAGACGGGCCTTGCCAAACCCACAGGCTGTTTCTGCCGCTCTGCTACCGCTGCGCTGTTTTTGATGTGAGCCACAGTGCAGATGCAGTGTTTTTTGGGCGATCACCAATAAGCTACCGTACTGGAGGAGATGCTGGTAAAGTACGGGAGACCTTTCAAGGTTAGTGCTGAATCCCAAGGGCGCAACGATGCAGCTGTTCTCCTAGCACAGTGTCAGTTTGTAGGGCCGTGTGGCATCTGTGCCTGTTTGCTCTACGCCAAAAGCGGTTCAACAGAAGATGCCCTTGTGGGAAAGGAAGTGGGCTTGATTGTGATGAACTTGAATTTTGAAAAGTGTATTGTAGGTAGAAACTGTAATACAAAAGCCACTTGAGTGTACTTAAAGAGAGTACATGATTAGTTTTTTAAAAAATATGTTCTTCAGATTATTTGTTTTGGAAGAAAACATTCTAGATTTTTCTACACTTAAAGCAAGTGAACAGGGCTCTACGTATGTACGCCATTTTGGACAATTCATAATCATAATCTATTTTTACTGTACCCAGCCTTAAAGTAATCTTTAAGACCCATACCTTCAAATAAGAAGGTCTTCTCTATTAAAATGATGAAATAATATACAATATATTTTCATATCTACAAACACTTGGATATTTTCATTGTTTCATTCTATACCTGTCTGATGATGTTTCTTCCAAATTTCAGATGACAGCCGTAAAACAAAAACACATTTTCATTTTTTGTCATTAAAAATCATGGTTATATCACCAAATATTAATTTTCAAACTCTACTGTAGTTAAAACAATAGTCTCAAAATGAACATACACTTACCGGCCACTTTATTAGGTACACCTTACTAGCACCAGGTTGGACCTACTTTTGCTTTCAGGACTGCCTCAATCCTTTGTGGCATAGATTTAACAAGATAATGGAAAATTCCTCAGATATTTTGGTTCATATTGTGATGACAGCATCACTTCAGATTTGTCGGCTCCACATCCATGATGCAAATCTCCCATTCCAGCACATCCCAAAGGTGGTCTATTGGATTGAATTCTGGAGATTGTGGGGGCCATTTGAGTACCGTGAACCTATGTCATGTTCAAGAAACCAGTCTGAGACGATCCACGCTTTATGACATGTTATTAGAAGATATACTATGGTCATAAAGGGATGGACATGGTCAGCAACAACACTCTAGGTGGGTAGGCTGTGGCGTTGACACTATGCTCAATTGGTACTAATGAGCCCAAAGTGTACCAAAATATATGCCCCACACCGATACATCACCACCACCAGCCTGAACCATTGATACAAGACAAGATGGATCCATGCTTTCATGTTGTTGATGCCAAATTCTGACCCTATCATCCTGATGTTGCTGCAGAAATCGAGACTCATCAGACCAGGCAATGTTTTTCCAATCTTCTATTGTCCAATTATGGTGAGCCGGTGTGAATTGTGGCCTCAGTTTCCTATTCTTAGCTGACAAAAGTGGCACCTGGTGTGATCTTCTGCTGCTGCAGCCCATCTGCTTCAAGGTTCGACGTGTTGTGTGTTCAGAGATGCTCTTTTGCATACCTCAGTTGTAACAAGTGGTTATTTAAGTTACTGTTTCCTTTCTATCAGCTCAAACCAGTCTAGCCATTCTCCTGTGACCTTTGACATCAACAAGGCATTTGCACTCACAGAACTGACACTCTCTTTTTTAGACCAATCTCTGTAAACCCTAAAGATGGGTGTACCTAAAAATCACAGTAGGTCAGCAGTTTCTAAAACACGTCGGCAACAACAACCATGCCACGTTCAAAGTCACTTAAATCACCTTTCTTCCCTATTTTGATGCTCGGTTTGAACTGCAGCAGATAGTCTTGACCAAGGCTGCATCTGAAATCACATACTTCCATACTATATAGTAAACTAAAAACATCTGAGCCAAGTAGTATGTCCGAATTCATAGAATTCCAAAAACAGTATGTGAAAAGTACCAAGGTTAGCTACTATTTCAGGCAAGATTCTGAAGTGTGCATCCAATGCACACTACACTATCCGATGAGGCCTGCAAAAGAATTCATTTAGGATACAGTGCATGTCTACCTGCTTAAATGCATTGAGTTGCTGCCATGTGCTCGGCTCATTAAAAATTTGTGTTAACAAGCATATGGACAGGTGTACCTAATAAAGTGGCCGGTGAATGTACTTTATATTTTATGGAAATATGACAGTTGTGTTATTTTATGTCAATAAAATGCTCTAAATTAGTTTACAGAATAAAACAAGAATTGTGTTTCACTAAAACAACTTCAAGTTGTCTTTTAATATATCCATGTATTATCAATCCTTTTAAATGTTATACATAGAATCTTGCCATATTGACTTAAGTTAGCTGCTAGTTCTTCTTTCCCAATGACATCACACACATTATCAAAGAGGGCATGAGATAACATGTAGTTGAACGTCTCAGAATGTAAGATTTAAAAATTGCCCAGTCAGTGATTATCATAACACACACAAATATGCAGTGTGAACCTAGCAAGAGTCGTTTTAGATAACAGTATCTTCCAAATGAGCCCAGTAATTATAAAAAAGAGACTGTAATTATAAAAATTACACACAAAGATATACTTTAATCCTGTTTGGTGAGTCCAGCTAATTGAATTAAATATACAATTAACATGCACTTCCCTTAATACGCTCTTTAAAATGATGCAATTGTGTATGCATGCCTATTTATTTAAGAAGGACTTTAAAATCCCTTGAATACCCTTGAAAACGCTTTTATTTTTTTATGCACTTCAGCACACTGTGTTTTGATATTGTTGATGACCGAGCATTCTGACGACCTCACACCACGTCTTTCAGATTACACAACAAGCACATAATGAGACGATGGTATTAGTCAGTAGTCTAGCCGAACAGATACCGTCCTCTCCTACGCTAGGATGCGCGCTGTGTTATTGTGTTCCTGCAGCGCATGAATAAACACTACAGCAGACTGATGGAAACCCTCCAACACCATAAGAACAACATGTACAAACAGGGACACACTGTAAAGTCAATAAATCAAGAAAAGACAAGCGATGAAAAGCACCTGCTTGCTCTGAAAATGTCAGCTTTCTTTCACACTTTTGAGTGTTTACACAGGTCTTGCGATATACAAGAGAGTGGGATTATTACCTAACTGGTGAAAAAAGAGAAACTGATGCTGTAATCGACCAGCAGCACCTATGAGGATTCGTGTTGTTGTTTATGTGTTGATCTGGTGAAAGGACTCAAAGGCAGTCCTTTCTGCTTGATTTTACCATGAAGCTAAAGCTACTGGAGCAGAATAAACGAAGCTGCAGGGCCTTCAGTGGAGAGAAGGACAAAATGTTTACAACGTGAATGTTTTCTGCAACAATAAGTCACCCGTAATGACTCTGTGTATAAACACATACTGAGAAATAAAGCTTGTGTTGATAATGTATGTTAAAATGTGTAAGTGATACTGTATAGCTGGTTCAATTGCTGTCGGAATGACGCATTGCAACATAGCATATTCTGGACTTTTGTTTATTATAGCTTTTTAAAAATTGTAGTCGTGGGTACTGGATATTTCATATTTAAGCATTGTTCTTCTTGTCATTTCAGAAAGCGAATGCTGCTCCGGTGTGTCATAGTCTAAGAGGGATGCTTGGAGGATGAAGGAAAATCCAGTTTTTCTGTCAATGGAAAAGTATGTGAATGCCTAAATGTAAACATTTATGTTGTTGAGGAACTTTCTGGAAACTTTTGTAATTTGTTGCTCCCCAAAGTATGGTATGTCATTTAAAGACCCGATATACTTCAAACAAAATCAAAGAACGGACTGAAATCACGTAATTTTAAATAAAACATGTGTGAATATCCAATGTTTTTGAGTTCGTTTCAGCAGTTGAAAAAAACTCACCAATTTTTTTTTTTTTTTCATTTTGGCTTTTAAACACATTTAAGCTACCATTGGTCAGTGGCGATTATGCAATCAGTGGGTTTGTTCTTGATCTGCCATCCTTAACATACAATATCCTCTCCCCATTTGTTTCTCATTCCACGGGGGTCAAAAACGAGACCAACATCCAAAACAACAACACTAGCTACATGACTACACTGGAGAGTCGAGTAGCAGAGCTGGTACAGATATATCCGCACCTGTATGATCGCTCGCAGAGAGATTATAAAGACTCAAAGGGGGTCACACACCGAATGAGTTGCCCGCCTTGCCAGCTTTACCATTTGGTGTCTGTTTGCCACTAATAGAAAACAATGTAAAGATGTGATGTGCCAGATGTTTATGAAACAGCACCATTGTTGATGATGATTAGGGGGTACACATGACCAGCGTGGCACATTTAAAACCCCACCTACTGTAGCGTGAGGGTGTTGGAGTGTTTGTAAACAATATACCATCATTTAGCTTTATCAAAAAAAACAAAAAAAAACTTCATTTGAAGTATACCGGGGCCTTAAGATTATAACTACTGAGATAGTCATTTTGATATTTTTGTAATTTTAAAAGTTGATGCATTGCAGCATTGCATATTCTGAAGATTTGTTTATTATAGCTTTTTAAAAATTGGCGTTGTGGGTGCAGTATATGAGATGACATCTTTATGCATTGCTCTTCTTGTCATTTAAGAAAGTGAATGCTGCTCCGGTGTGCCATAGTCCATGAGGGATGTTTAAATGTTGAAGTAAAATCCAGTTTTTCTGTCATTGGAAAAGTATGTGAATGCCTAAATGTAAACATTAATGTTGTTGGGGAACTTTCTGGAAAATGTTATAATTGGTTTCTCTTCAAAGTGTGGGATATTATTTAAAGACAAGATACACTTAAAACAAAATCAAAGAACGAACTGAAATGACGTAATTATGAATAAAATCTGTATGAATATCCAATATTTTTGAGTTTGTTAAGGCAGTTTGAAAAAGCTCAGTAAAGTAAGTCTTCAAGAGATTTCGTTTTGCCTCTTAAACACATTTAAGATCCAATTGGTCGGTGGCTATTATACATACAGTGGGTTTGATCTCTACCTTCTTAAACAAACAAGACCCTCCCCCCAATTTGCTTCTCTCTCCACGTGGGTCAGAAAGACCAACATCCAAAACAACAACACTAGCTACATAATTAAACTGGAGAGTCGATAAGCAGAGCTGGTACAGATATATTTGCACCTGTATGATTGCTCGCAAACAGATTGCAAAGGCCTGAAGGGGGTCACAAACTGAACGAGATGCCTACCTTTTCACAACATCTTTTTTTTTTTTAGTTTGTTCACCAGCTTTACCATTTGGTGTCTGTTTGTGACTAATAGAAGACAATGTAAAGATGTGATGTGCCTGATGTTTATGAAACTACATAATTGTTGGGATTTAGGGGTACACACAAAGAAGACACATATAAAACCCCACCTACTGTAGCGTAGGGGTGTTGGAGTGTTTGCAAACAATATACCATCATTCAGCTTTATCAAACTTCTTTTTACCCTCAAACAAAGAAAAAAAAACTTAGTTTGAAGTATACCGGGGCCATAAGATTATAACATTATTTCAATATATTTGTAATTTAAACCGTTGATGCATTGCAACATTTTCTGAAGATTTGTTTATTGTAGCTTTTTAAAAATAGTGGTAGTGGGTACTGGATATGAGATGACATATTTATGCATTGTTTTTATTGTCATTTCAGAAAGCGAATGCTGGTCTGGTGTGCCAATATTCGTGAGGGATGTTTGGAGGTTGAATGGGAAACCCAGTTTTTCTGTCATTGGAGAGTATGTGAATGCCTAAATGTAAACATTTATGTTGTTGGGGAACTTTCTGGAAACTTTTGTAATTTGTTGCTCCCCAAAGTGTGGGATGTTATTTAAAGACTCGATATACTTCAAACAAAATCAAAGAATGAATTGAAATGACGTCATTTTGAATAAAATCTGTGTGAATAGCCAATATTTTTGAGTTCTTTTCAGCAGTTTGAAACAGCTCATCAAAGTACATTTTAAGGAGAATTAATTTTGGCTTTTAAACACATTTTAGCTACCATTGGTCTGTGGTGATTATGCATTCAGTGGGCTTGTTCTTGATCTCTGCCTTCTTAAACATGCGATATCTTCCCCGGGATTTGTTACTTATTCCACGGGGGTCGGAAAGGAGACCAACATCTAAAATAACAACACAAGCTACAGTACATAAATACACTGGAGAGTCGAGTAGCAGAACTGGTACAGATGTATCCGCACCAGTATGTCTGCTCACAGAGGGATGCCCACCTTGCCACGTCACATCTTTTTTATGAGTTTGTGCACACCAGCTTTACATTTAGTGTCTGTTCGCAACTAGTAGAAAAGAATGTAAAGATATGATGTGCCAGATATTTATGAAACTGTTCCATTGTTGTGAGTACACATAAGCAGCACATTTAAAAACCCTGCCTACTGCAGCGGGAGCGTGTTGGAGTGTAAAAATATACACTTTTTTTTTTATTACACTAAAACTATAACTCATGAGATAGCCATTTTGATATTTTTGTAATTTAAAGGTCCCGTGAAATTAAAATTAAGTTTTTTAGATGTTAGTTTCAGTTTGTTAATTTTAAAGGATATCTATGAGCTAGCGTGTCCCAAAACAGTGACAAAATTCGTGTTTAGAACATATAAACATCCAAAGTTTGTAGTTTGTCACTTCCGCCTGAATCGTCAAGGATTTTTTCACATCACCTCATACTTCAGTTTTTCATCAAATCTGGCCAATCAAATGCTCTGTAGCATCGGTCATGCCTACCCCCTTCAAGACGCTTCTCATTTGATTTAATGCACTTTCTGGGAGAGCTGTCATAAAAACAAAATGATATTTTTTTTGGCGCTTTTTTCTTGAAAGAGGAGAAGCTACTTTTTGCCCATTCTTCATTTTTCAGTTGTAATTACATCAAACACAGAATAAAAATGCACATTTCAAAGCACTTTACGGGACTTTTAATAACTTTAAATGAAATTTTATTTATTTAATTACAGTACCCCGACTGTGTGTATATTTATTTTATACATAGTTATTTTGATAAAGTTTTAAAACGCAAAAAAGTTCTGAGTATTTCTACCTTCAATGGCAATGACAGTCACATTGACCGCATGCATTTCAGCATCTGCTACTTTTACCATTGTATGTGTGCTTCTGTTGCCTAGCAACTTTCTGCTAACAAAAATATTACTTTCTGATAGCAAAAACAAAACTTTACTTTAGACATGTCTTGCAAACATTTTAAAACAACGTTTTCACCGGAGTGAAAAATCTTTGCTTTCCTGCTTGCCAGACAATGTAAGGTACACACCTTCAGGGGGGTCAAGCAACTTGTGCACAGTTTTAGATAGGTATATTGACCATACAATATGATGACAGATATTCAAAGCTTAGTTCTAAGATTTCAATAGAAGCTTCAAATGTAAATTACAAAAAAAAAGAAAAATAATAATAATAAATAAATAAATAAAAAATAAAATAATAATAAATAAATAAATAAATTTGGTACAGTCTTTTATGAATGGTCATGTATACTGCATATATATGAATTGTATATGACTGGTATGAATGGTAATTCCAGTGTTTAAGCGGATAAAATACTGACAGTATACTAGTAGATTGCAAAAAGTAGATCACTATTGAATGACACAAAAATTAAAACTCATTATTTATTCTTTTTGTTCAAACCCCTATTTAACTGACTTGTTATCAATTATATGGATTACATTTCAGAATAACATTTTATAGAAGGATAAAAGACATTAATCAATGATGTAATTTATCATTTTTAATTATCGATTTGTGTGGGTGTGACAAATGATCCACTACCAGCCGCATTTATTTGATCATAATACATCACTAAGCAGTGGTGTTGTGAAATGTAGTTACACTGTAAAATAATGTTTTATATTTGAATATATGTTAGAAATTATTAATTATTAAATGACTAATTTATCAATAATATTGAATTTCCAGCATTATTAATCAATTTTAAATGATCTTTGATGAGACATTATGCTATTATGCTGATTTGAGGCTGAAAAAAAATCCTAAAATCATCAACGCTAAATGATTATTTCACCCAAAACCCAACAAATAATTTACTCACACTTCACGTTTTACAAATTTCTTTCTTCTGTTAAACAATAGAGGACATTTTAAAAATAGAATTTTGATGTCAGAAACTGGTTACCATTGGCTTCCTTAGTATTTGTTTTTCCTATGGATGTCAATTGGTTACCAGTTTATAAGATTCTTCAAATATCTTTTGTGTGTGTTAAACAGAAGAAAATGTTTTGAAACCACTTGAAGATGAGAAAATAGTCAGTCAAATTTCATTTGTTTTGTTAAACTCTCTTTTTAAAAACAGTATATATATATTCATATTTTTTTATGTGGAAACTGTGGCAGTGTATATCTGTTGTATATCTGTGTATATCTGTTGTTTTTGAATTTTTACATATCAACCTCAATCCATTTACTGAACACAGTAAAACACTTTGTGAAGTACTTCAACAAAATCTGTGTGAAAGTATCTATTATAACTGCAGAATATCTAAATGCAATATCCTGAGCCTTCCTTTGCAGTATTTCTCTTCAACACCAGGTCCCTCTTTTGCACACATATAACCCTACGTGTCACTTCCAGCCAAAGCATTTTAAAGACGTTGTACAATTTTCAATAATGTTCCGCCAGTCCTAAAGGAGCTCAATAACTCTAGGCCCACAGAGGCCACTGAATCAGCATTTCAAAGTGAAAACTCCTTTTCCACAAAGACCTTTGAATTGAAATAGAAAAAAAAAAAGTTTCTCCTTTCCAGCCGCACAAACTCAACTCTGATTGACCCTTCTCAATCTGTGCGCCTCTCTGTTGTAAAGAAACAGGCATAAAATAAGGCAGAGTTAATAGAGTTTAGGACTAAGAGCCAAACCGCACTGGAATAGGATGGAGATGGAAAGAGTCGAGGGAGGGAAAGAAGGAAAGATTGAGATCCCTCAGGGAGAGGGATTGGGTCCGGGACGCCTGAGGAGATACTCGCCTCTAATTGGCCGAATGCCTCCGGTCGGTTGTTCCCATAATGCCGTGTGTTGGAGTGACTTTCTGGAAAGTCTCACTGGACTCCTCAAGGTTACCGTCACTCTTCAGTGTTATCGCTGCACTCTGAGCCACTGTAGCAAATCTGCTTTTAGCCGAGCGCCGATGAACTACTGAGAATATGAATATTCAAAAAGTGGAACGGGTGCTTGTACAACTCCAACACAAGCAGGTTTTCATTAGTTCAAGGTCTCAAATGCTGCTGGTTGAAAGGTTGAAGGAATTATTTCTAAATCTCTTTAAAATACATTTGTTATGCTAACCAAAGCTGCAGTTATTAAATCATAAATACATTAAAAACGGTAATGTTCTGAAATATATATATATATATATAATTTTTTTTTTTTTTACAATTTTAAAGACTATTGTTTTGGTGTATTTTTATTTTATTTTATTTTATTTTATTTTATTTTATTTTATTTTATTTTTGTAATGACAAATAATTGCTTAGTAAGAGAAGAAGTGTTACACCATCTTTAATAATTTATTGGTGATTCTTTTATTTTTATAAATGTTGATCAATGTTTATTTGAAATATAAAGAGTACAGATAAAAAAGTTTTGAAATCTGAAATTTTCTTATAAAATTAGCATTTTTCTTAAGCTCTTGTGCCTTGATTCAGTAATTTCACTTTTACAATTCAATAGTTTTACTTTTACGTAAATAATATATTATTTTCATGGCTTTTAACATGGAATAACTGAATATAAACATGAGGCTGAGAAAAATGCTTGGAGAAGAAAATGTTCAGATGACACTTTTGCATCTGAACTCTTCATATAGTTGAAGCCAGAAATATTAGACCCCTTTGATTTTTTTTATGTATATATATATATAATATAATAATGTATATATATATATATATATATATATATATATATATATATATATATATATATAATTTTCACAGTATGTCTAATTTTTTTTTTTTCTTCTGGAGAAAGTCATATTTGTTTTGTTCTGGCTACAATAAAAGCAGTTTTAACTTTAAAAATCTATATATTTTAAGGTCAAAATTATTGGCCCCTTTAAGCTATATATATTTTTTCTATAGTCCACAGAACAAACCATCTTCTCACCGTTAAACATAAATTGGAGAAAAAAATAAACAGGGGGGCTAATAATTCAGGGGGGCTAAGGATTCTTAATAATGATTTGTAATAGTCGTACATGTTTTTGCTGTGTCTTTTTATCAACTTAACCGATCCGTGCTGAATAAAAGCATTGATTTCTTTCAAACATTTGAGCAGCAAAATTGTTTTACCACTGAAAATAATTATTCTTAAGCACCAAATCAGCATATGAACATGATCTCTGAAGGATCATGTGATGCTAAAGACAGGAGTAATGGTGCTGAAATTTAGATTTACATCATATTAATAAAACAAATCTTAAAATATATTACAAAAGAAAACTGAACTAATATAATACTTTAAGTTTTTACTGTTTTTTGGATTAAATAAAGACTGGTGGCAATAACAGACACTTTACAATGTACTTTATAATATTATTTACTGGGCATATAGACTGAATCTCTAATAAAATCAGATTCAAGAATAATATTGATGTCGGACAATAACTACATTTTCTCATGTATATGTGTGTTTTATGTCTTACTGTGAGTGAATTCTATCATGCCGTCTTCCTCTCAAACAGACTATTGTATGTATGAAATAAAGAGGTTGTTATGAAAAGCATGTCCTTGAATTTAAAAGGCGCTGAGGAGGTTTCTTTTTCTTTTTCTTCCCTCCCAGCATAACCAAAGCTAACCGAATAACCTCTCGTCTGTATCAAAGTGGAATCAAATAAAAAGAATCATCTCTTCTTTCATTTTGCCTCC